TTTAAAGTTAGCCTAATTGTACTGCTGAACCGAGAATAAACTACATTATGATACATACATAACGCAATTACCCACTGGCAGGAATATGTTTATAACACAATCAAATTTGGCCCCAACACTTTAGAAGGTACTCTACCACCCTTTTGCGTCAATCAACTGGAAAATCACATTAGCAGTGTCACCCAGAAAATCATCACCACAAAACTGGAATACACTTCAAAAATGCAAATAGAACATCTCCACACCCTGAACTTATTCAGGAAATAATATGTTGGCTTGATATTCCATTCTAAGTGCAACAAGCAAACTCCTTGGAGGACAGTTATATTGCCTGTTTATGTTGAGTAAACACACTAGAATTAGCCCACACTGCAGCTAACTGCAGGGTGCTATGTAAACAGCAGGGAGGGCTATTTACATAATGCAATTTCATGCATTAACTGTCCAGTAAAGCTTTCAGTAAATATATCAGTATTTTCTATCTGGCTTCAGGAAGATTCTGGGAAACAGGAGATTCAGATTATATATATAGGCTATATGTATATGATTGAAATCTAATATGGTATAATGCATGACTAGTCAAGCAGTCGGCATGGGGATATTACTGGCAATCTGACACCTATTGATAAAAGTGGGGGTTATACTGAACATCAGACAATGATGTTATGAGTGAATTACAGAAGGGACACTTCTGAGTTATGATCAGTGCAGTAATGTAAAATTGCTGCCTGAAGAATTGTTATGTTAGCTTTTATGTGAAATGCCTTTGATGCTTGTGTGAGACATATTAACCAGCAAAATTATAAATATATTTTAATAAACTGGCTTTATGACCATAAAAATATACGAGTCCTTCATGTATATTATATGAGGCTCTTGATTGAAGCAATTGAAAGCAATGGAGCTCCTCTCTGGAATTCATTTTTCTAGCTGACTAACAGGTTTATGGTCCCCAAATATGTTTTTTTTTTCTGAGGTAAATGTGACGTTACGTGACATATTGTTTACAATCTGTTATACTGATGTCTTTTTGCGGTTGAAACACTGATTGAGCGATTACATGAGATAGGAGACGGATTTCGGTAATTTGTACTCTTTGTTTTAACATAACTTCGAATATTCATTCATGATTTTTTTTTTCGTGCTGTAACTGATATTAAAACGGAGGAGATAATCAGTTCACATGCGTTTCGCAATGCCACTTCTCTTGAACTGAAGCACTACAGCGATCTGTCACTCCACAATAAAAATTGCCAAAACGGTATTTATTGTTTGAATATTGTAATAAAATGGACAGAATCTGAAATCTGAGACTTTGTTTCATTTCAAAAGTAACAAAGCACAAAGCTCATTGCGATTTATTAGACGAGCTACAATGTTCCATTCATTAACTGAAAACAGGCTTGACTAATCGATTATCAGGATTTAAAGAACTGGTATTGTTTCATAAAAATGAGAATTGATTACAATAGAGAAATCATTATTTTTTACCCAGCCCTAATGTACAGTATATTCACTTTGTCACAGCAATTCATTGGCAATGTGAACACCCATTTAGTGGTATATATCCCAACTCCTCCAAAATGTGACTTCGAATTCTACAACTGTAAACAGTGTTCAAATCAGGCTTATGGAACTTTTTATTACTTGGCACCCTTACACATAGTAAAATCACTATAATGCACATCTCTCCTGACTCTACTGGTGCAGCTTTTTACTGAACCTTGAGGATTAGTCTGTTTTGTTTTGTTTTTTTTACTGATAATTGTTGAAAACTGCCAAAAACAAACATAAATGTGAATTTCAATGCATATGTGGCCCAAGAGAAAGCCGCTCATTCTGACTAGAAAGTAGAAATCTAGACAAGACAATATAGATAAAATGTAACATTACACGTGTTTCTCTTTCTACGTACTCTAGGAACCATAGAAATGAGTACAGATTAAACGTGAAAGTACTATGGACTCTCCTCTTCTCACCAGACCCTTCCACGGAGGAAGAACGAACTAAAGAAACCAGTGGTTTTATCTGATTCAAACTCTGGTAATTCACATAATCTCATGTGTTTCATACACTGTTACTTCATTCCATTCTGTCCCTTTCCAAATCTGACAGATATTGTCCATTCTTTATTTAGTCATGGTTGGACACCAAATAAATAAAGAATTTGGATTTAAAAAGAAAAATGAACTGAAAGCATCGTGGTCCAACAACTGCTTCATTAAACTGCATCTGAAAACTATGCTAGCTATTGGTTATATGTAAGCCCTATTTCAAAGGCAACCTAGAAAATAGTCCACTTGGACTAGGTCAGCTATTTATAAATGCTGTCGAGAAGAAGATGTCTCTGGTGTGGCCAAGAGCTGGTCAGTTTGTGTTCTTTACTGCACATCTAACTATCAGTAAACACTAAAACCTGCACATTTTAGCTTTAAAGTGCCCCTATTATGGATTTTTGAAAATTACCGTTCATGCAGTGTGTAACACAGCTCTAAGTGAATGAAAACATCCTGCAAAGTTTTAAATCTGAAAGTGCACCGTGCATAAAGTTATTGTCTCTCAAAAGAAAAGAGTCGACTCTGAATCATTGAAACAAGCTGTTTTTAAAACGAATCCCCAGTCGTTTCATGTTGACGTCAACATGAAACATTAGCATATTGCCCGCCCACTTGTTTCTCGTTGGTCTGAATGAAAATGTAAATTTGTTCTTTGCCACTATAGGTGCGGCCTTTGGAGCGATAAAAATAGCGGTTTCCCCGGTAACGCTGTACACAAAGCAGCACCGCGCTCACACCGCTGCTTTATCAGGCATTACAGGCATGATGAAATTAAAATGAAACCAATCTGACAAATCCCCGCAGATTAGCGTCATGCAAAGGAGGGGTTTGGAAAAATTAATCGTTAAACGAATCGTCTGGGTGTCATTGAGCAAGTAAGGTAAAAATAAACTCATATTATAAGACAATGAAAGTGTTTTTTGACCTTGCATGCATGTCAACCTGTTGTTGGGGACTCCCAAAACCAAAATATGAACCTTTCATAACCCATAATAGGGGCACTTTAACTGAACAGTTGCCCTTGCGTACATGACAAGTACCTTGCTTTTAGCGCATTTGGTCATTCAGAAATATTCTAAACTCAGATAACTGCAAAGGTATTTTGTGTTAACCACCCTTTTTACCATATTGCTTTACATATGAAACTAAGTGAACTACAAAGTTCTTTTAAAACATCAACACATTGTTGTATAGGACTTAACCCTGCTTGAAAGCTGGTTTGGACAGAAGCCTACCAAAGTGTTTGGATGTGTATGTGTGTGTTCCATCTGTCTGAAAGAGGTGTTTTAAGGTTTTGGGTACTAAAGAATCTTTGGAGCCTTCATGTTTACTCTACTGGCCAGTAGCTATGGTGGGACTGATTGGGGGTGATGAGCATGTCGAGGCCTTTGGCAGACAGCATAAAGACCTCCTCTGGAGATGTCTATTGTGCGAGTGTCTCCCTCCGGACCTGAGAACGTACCAGATTCCGGCACATCACGGCATGGGTCTAATACACTTCAGTCTCCAATTAGAGAAAGAGTAAACCACTGCTGGGAACATGGCAGAGCTCACTTGCCTATAATCAGCATCCTAAAATTTTATTTGCTAGGATTTGGGTTTAAATTTTTTTTCTCATTTGTTGTTTATGTTATTAGTTAATGTAATGCAATAAGAAACAAAATTCTTGAAGAATTGGCCACATTGATTTGGATTTGTCCTTGTTGTTGATTACTGTAGTTTTGAGGTTCAGTAGTCATTAGAGAGCTGATTATTAAAGACACAGCATGAAATGAATAACAAGCTGGGGTCTCATATGAAAGGTGCCATAGGGGGCAAACGTATGAAACAAAGAAATGTTGTACACCCCCATTTATTTTTAGACATGCTTATTGAACTGATTTAGATCATGGCCACTAACAAAAAAGTTCTGTGCGCCTTGGGCAACAATGAGATAAAGACATGGTACAGACATGGACAAGAGATGGTACAGTTATTCATATAACCAGCATGGCGAATTTCTCAGCAATTTATTTTTGAAATATTAGATTTTGTTTTGTATTACATAAACTGGGTTTGATGAAACTAGCCAAAAATTATTCTTTTTTTTAGTGTGTTATCAAGCTAAATAAAACTAATACTGTAAAAAATCTAAAGAACCAGATATTAACTTTGTCGGCTGCTGAAGATATTATCTTGGGACGAACAAATGTTCAACTAATATTAGACATAACTGGGTCAAGTATAGTTACTTCCCAAATACGTCCTAGAACCTCCTGACATGCCTGATTTAAAGGGAAAAAAATATATTTCCTAATATATAAAAGTGAAAAGTAATTAATCTTTTTCAGACATATATATGCGATTTTCAGTATAATAACCAGTTCAATGATATCATCAACAATTCAGACTCAGTTCAGCTGCATTTGTACTAAATCTAGTTTTGAAAATGCACAATAAAAGAGTAAAAACTAGTTTCACCCTGTAGGAACCCAAAGTAGCATGACCTAATGAAAGCAAATAAACGCATTTAGATTAATCAATAGATTAAATCAGCCAAAAACCAAATGAGGAATCAGCTCAGTAGTGTTAGAACAGTTCTCTTAACCGAATCAACTTCACAGATAAAAGATGGTATTCCATATTCCTGAATCTGGATTTCAAGACATTAAAACTAATCAAACCAAAACCAAAACCAAACAATTATGTGCAGCAGACTAATATAAATAGCACATGAATTTGATTAAACATCTCAATAAACTTAACCAATGCTAGCTAAAAGGAGACTAATTTGAACACTGTGCAAAAACAACCTGAACAAATTAAACATAGCTCTGATGCAAAACAACACAATATAAACACACTTAAACTTTACAGTACAGTACCAGAAAAAAAGGTATATATTAAAAGCAAATTTATTAATATAGCTCAACCACATACATGTCAGCAATAACAGTGTCTTACCTGTGTGACTGGGTAACTCAAGCTTGGGTTCACATTTTGGAAGAGAACATTCTGAAAATACAGAAAATAATAGAGAAAAGGGGTTAGATAAAGTACACCCTCAGTCATTTGAAGATGAAGGGGTTTCATGACACGTTGAAGTGAAGTTTTGAATAGGCACGAGCATTTTATGTCATGAAGCAAATACAGTATGGTTTAACACAGAACTCAGAACTAATGAACGATTCACGTGACATAAATGTGACAGAGGAAGAGTAATGATCAGAGGTTACAAAACCTTAAAGCATAGCTAAATTTAAAGGGTTAGTTCACCCAAAAATTAAAATTCTGTCATTAAAGGGGTCATATGATGCTATTTTAAAAATCATTATTTGGTGTATTTGGTGTAACACAGCCCTCTACGGACACCTTGGCATGGACGTAAAACAACGTATGCTGTTCTGTGTCAGCTGCGCCACGCAGATACGCTGTTTCCATTCAGATCAAATCACAACAACATAGGAAACAGATCTGGTGTGACACAGCTGACACAGAATAGCATACGTTGTTTTACGTCCAGCGGATATCTATGCAGGGACAGACAGCTCTCAGATTCCATCAAAAATATCTTAATTTGTGTTCCGAAGATGAACAAAGGTCTTACGGGTTTGAAACGACATGAGGGTGAGTAATTAATGACAGAAATTTCATTTTTGGGTGAACTAACCCTTTAACATTCAACATTTGCTTTAAATCTATTTTGATTTGAATAATCTGACTTAAACTACCTGAAATATGATGTCATGTACAGTGCAAGTATCTGCATCTACATCACAGTGTATGCTTTCAGGACAGCATAAGTGATCACCAAGGTATTTTTGTAATGCAGTATATTGTCATGTCCCCATCATGACTAAAACATTAAACAATCTGTAAAGATCAGATTATCAAATTACATTTAAAATAAGGGTGAATTTGAAATAATAATTAATTTAGTTTGAGCGAACTTTTGCTATTTTCTCAAGTAATAACTTCTAAAATGAAAAACTAGCCATTCATTAAGAAATACCGTATATTCCATTTCTCTTTCTCAAATCAAAATGTTTCAAACAAACATGTTTTTTTTATTATTATTTATTGGAATTATTATTTTAATTGGTAATCATTTATAGACCCAGTGACTCCATCACATTCCACCCTATTACTCTTAGTAACATCATGCACTTTACCTAACAATGACATCATTTTTCAACAACTGACATCATTTTTGGGGGGCAGTGCAAACATGAGAAAGTAGCAATTTGACAAATTATCTGATGTATTTCTTGTTTTAGTTTGTTTGCATTAAAAAAAACATCCCATCATGTCTGATAAATTTACAGAAATCTGTATGATTTTATCAAATTGTCAAATGTTGACACCTTCAGGTTAACTCTCAATCCCTCTCTGAGCTATGGCAAACTTTAGCTCTGCATTTCCATCCTGTTATGTTCCATCCTTCAATCTCTCTATATTGGTTTTACTGGCATTTTGTAAATAAGCTGATAATTGTGTTTGCTTGAAGACCTTAAAATTAAGTTAAGCATTCACAAATAAATAGACAAAGCGTTCACAGATAAAACACTCCAGCATGTGTGTGCTTCAGCCTGTGGCTTACTTTTAGTACGGTCTCTGGCCTATTGAGTATCCCACTGAGAATGTGTGATATGATCTGATTTTAAAGAATCGACCCCCAACACAGCTAAGCCAAAATCCTCCCTTATTACACACTGAGGACTAACGCTCACTGATAAGACCTCACTCACTCGCTGCCCTTCCTCACTGACATTGCATCAGTACTCTTGGCCTTTACCCTAACCTCAATATTACATGGCAAATGTCAGTGCTGATCTGGGAGCATCTGCTAGAAAATGTACAAGCTCTTGATCAGATAAGGGTCGTATGGCAGTGGCAAGGCCCAGTGGTCTCTTCTTAAGAGCAAAGACCCCGTGGCAGGAATGAATGATTTACTTCAACAGGTTTTTAGGTGAATGCACCTGCGGCAGTAGCTTTTCCTGATGTGTATCTTGTGCAAACACACACAGTGTTACACAACCCATTTTCAGACATCAATTAATTTGATCTAAAATAAATAGTGAACTCAAAAAATTTGAATTATGTCATAATTTACTCATTTACATTTCATTTATTCACCCCTGTGTTCTGTGGAACGCAAATCTTTGCATCTTCACGTTCATTGTTTGCATGTGCAGGCGCAAATACAAAGACATGGAATAAAGCACACTTATACGAGTGTCTATAAGAATAGTATAGACTATTTTAATGGTATTTTTTGTTCAGCTCCTTTCGTGTTCTATAAAAGAAAATCAGATCTGAAATGATATGAGTGATGTGAGAAAATCAAAATTATTTAGACAAAACATAAACATATGTAACCATGTGTCACAGAGGGACACATTTCCTTTTCCTGTTAATTCATTTAGTTACATAAACAGCATTTTAGAGTAAAATTACACATAATGTGATGCTAAACCACTTACCTTTTTTAGACATTGTAGATAGGTACATTATATGAAAGCTTGTTTCCACCACTGAATAAAAAAATTTAAAAGGTAATTGCAACTTTTTATCTCACAATTCTGACTTATTCTCACAATTGCTAATTTACATCTCGCAATCCTCACTTTTTTTTCAGAATTGCGTGATATAAACAGGCAATTCTGACTTTTTTTTCTCAGAATTGAGAGATGCTACTGTGAAGGAGCGAGGAGCAAAGGAGCGAGGAGACGTAGGGGAATCCATGAAGAAAATCTTTATTTTACAAAAAGGAACGCACACGTAGCACAGGCGATTGACGAACAATACCGGACAGGAAACAAGGGGCAGAACACACTTTATATACAGAACTAACGAGGGACTAAACGAGGAACACCTGAAACCTATAAACATAGTTAACACGAGGGAGAAACTAGGTCACGGGGGAACATGGAACACGTGGGGGAGGAAAACAAACACACAACAGTCCATGGGCGTGGCAATTGCAAGTTTATATCTCATAATTACACAATTGTAAGTTTATATCATGCAATTCTGAGGGGAAAAAAGATAGAATTGCGAGATACAAAGTCACAATTACTTATTCTTTTTTATTCAGTGGCACAAATGAGCTTCCATAATATTATTATTAACACTATAAATATATGGTTAAATGTAAGTTATACAGGCATCCCGTAATACCCGAAACATTGTCAAAGTATTTTTACAGTGAATATCAGGCAATCATATCTATTTTATTTTTTTATTTTTTGGCTCTGTTAGATTACAACTCTACTTTTTTCAAACAACACATAGTCTTTATCTAATCTTAATTAAAGGTTCATTGAATATTTTCACTGGCCCACACAGCACAAGTGTTTGAATGACACTTGTTGAAATCAGGAAACAGTTTAGCATCACTTCCTCTCCTGGACAGCCCACTGGCTTAATGTGCCTTCATTTCAAAATCTAACTTTGAGATAAACACATCAATAACATCCTACCCTCAAACATCTGTTCCTCATTGTAAAACAACGTACTCTAAACCCCTTCAAGAAATACTTTTTTCAAACAACACATAGTCTTTATCTAATCTTAATTAAAGGTTCATTGAATATTTTCACTGGCCCACACAGCACAAGTGTTTGAATGACACTTGTTGAAATCAGGAAACAGTTTAGCATCACTTCCTCTCCTGGACAGCCCACTGGCTTAATGTGCCTTCATTTCAAAATCTAACTTTGAGATAAACACATCAATAACATCCTCCCCTCAAACATCTGTCCTCACTGTAAAACAACTTACTCTAAACCCCTTCAAGAGATGGAGAGAAAGAGATGTAAACTGAAATAATCGTCTTCCAATTATAGAAGATGACATAGCAGCATTGTCTATTCATGGACCATAATGCTGTTCTGCATTAACATTCTATAGCAGCTGACTGAATAACTGACATGAACAGCAAATGAAGAGATTTTAACCCTTCAAGTACAACTTTGGACAACAACATGATTGTATTCTTGAAAGTACCTTTAAGTGCATGTAAATACCATGATATGAGCATGATAATCATTCAGTACCATGGTATTACCATCTGATACCGTGGTATTGTCACAGTATATTTTTGTAAAGGATGATTACATGAATGGTACCTGCTTACTGCTATTTGAAGTCTTTCCTTTAGTTTCCCTTTATCTTAAAAGTTTTTTTTCTCGTCAAATCAATTCTGCATCTGGAGCAACCACATTACAGCGCTAGTGTGGAGAAGGGTCAGATCATGTTTGCTCATCGGGGCTTCATTATATTACAAAATGCAAGGCTTTATACTTCACAAGCCATGATGGCGTTGGTCAACCTCACGGGGTTACCGTAAACAAGCTTGCAGTTCAGATTAAATAAATTGGACACAGGGATACTTGTGTATTCATGGTTTTCATGTGATGTCACACTCTTATAGTAACACCCACCTGGAGGGCTTTCCTTTGCTGCCCAACAATTATTTCTACCAAGTTTGTACTAAGTAGGCAACTAATGTATAAAGACAGTCATTTTAAAAGACACAATTCAGTATACACATTACTGATAATAATGCATAGTATACTGAAAAGCAAATGTGCCAAGAATATGAATATATTGCGCTAAATTGTGCGTTAAGCATTCTCCACAGAAAACCATTATATAAAAAAAATGTGGCTTAATGCATTAAGACAGTGCTATTAGAGGACCAAATTCAGTATGCAGCTTAGTAATAAAACATGTTCAGATGTACCTAGAAACACGCAACGTTTCATATTCAAATGTATGGTTTTCCCATCACAAAAGAAAACATATAAAGTGCAGTTTAGTGTTGTGTTCATATTCTGGGCTCATCTGCTTGCCTGTATACAGGTATGCATCACGAATAAGGTATATACTGAATATGATCTTTTATTATCACTGTCTCAGCCACATAAAGCGTTTTACAGAATGTCCCGGTTTTTAGTGAAATAATAACTGCATATGGATTGCAAGTGCAGTTTATTAAAAATAGCTTTCAA